ACTCCCTTCACAGACGAAGTTGCCGCTAGTCAGAGCCAGAGATCGCCTTGTCCTCTGAATTTCTGCATGTAGAGTGCTGTCATCGTCAAATCTGTGCATTCTGTTAATCGTACCGAGAAGGAGGTCGTTGATATGCAAGAGGAACATTGTTGAAGTCAAGGCAGATCCCTGGAGAACACCCACGTTGACGTTGTGGGATGAAGAGGAGAACCCGTCAATTACGATGGTTATCTTGCGGCCAGAGAGAAAGTCAGCGCTCCATCTGCAAAGCTTCTCTGGGAGGCCATAGAATGGAAGTTTGCATAAGAGGCCAGCGTGCAACAGCTGATCGAACGCTGTCGTGATATCAAGAGCAACGACATGAGCGTCACCATAAGTTTCGAGTTATTCAGGGGAGTCAGGACAGCCGTACATTAAAGGACAGAATGTGTGGTCAGAAAGAGATCCAGTAGGCTACTGGTATGTGACGAAACGCGGATGAAAAAAGTAGGGCTCGGCACCAGCTTGGTCAGCTCTTGGTAATAGCGAACGCTTCAACTGCACGACCTGCTGAATTGGTCTTGTTTGAGCCTAACCAAAGCGGAAAAAGTAAGTCTTGGCCCTAAACAAATAGCGTAACTTTTTTCCAGCATCTGACATTATTCCGATCAGCCAATATGATTGGCTCTTTGATGAAACTCGGACATCCATCAAAACCAGGTGACCGGTAGAGCGGTTCTTGTTAAGCAATGTACTGTGTTTTGGAAGTTTTAAAAAAAGCAGCAATCAAAGAAAACCACTAGCGAATTAAACTCTCTTGAATGAATATTCACCTAGCAGCCCTATGAACAGTTATTTATGCATTTAAAGTCCTTGTTTTTTGCCATCACCGTCGTCGCGGCTTGCTTAGCTCGGACGCGGGAGCAGAACAAGACAAAAAAGAGGACCAGGACGGACCAGCAGCAGCCACTGTCATACGCCGCCCGTCGAACATTATTTATCTGTCTGTAGGGGCACAATGGCCGTGCCGAGGCCGATCTTTTGAATTCTTCCACCGAAATTCCACCGAATCGAACATATGTTTAAAAAATATCTTATCCGAATACCAGCCCGGTCTGGCTCTTTTTATGGTAGCAGCTGGTAAACTCTCCCAGATTTCGTCCATCGGTTGCATTCAGACTTATATGGTAGAGCCCGTTATTTATTTGATCGCATCGAACTCTTTTTCTAGGTCTCACTAGCCCACGAGCTATTTACTTTAAAATAAAACCTCCCAAATGGTTAAGCGTGCTTCAAAATGTTACTTACTGTACCAGTGCAGCTACTGTGCTTTTCACGAGTATCCATTACGGTAGAACAGCTGATTATTTAGTAATATTTCAATTTTCCCATATCGACACAATTCTAACGGATCTTCCAACGCCAGGTAGACAGAGATGTACTTTGTTGTGTTTTTTTGTAGGCTACGGATTTATTTTGTACTTGCTAACGATCCTTTTATTTATTTATTATTAAAAGTTCATTCGCATACAAAAAAAAAACGCTACGAGCACAACGTCTGGTAGTGATCATGACTACACTTTAAGTCTTTGTATGATAAGATAAACAGTTTTTGACTATGTTAATCATCACTTTTTTTATCTTGAATCACCATATTTTTTATGGTGACCGAAGTGATAGAGGTTCGATTTCCTGAATAAGGTCTGAACACTACTCAGGTATTTCTAACAAGTTAGAAATTAAAAAAATGTAAGTGATATGTACAACTATTGCAGGAAGTCATGAAATGTCCTCAACTGGGACAATGCAGTGTATGCGAATACAGACAAGGGCTAACTGTTGAGAACACCGCGAAAAATCCAGAAAAAACGAAAGGGTCGTGTGGAGGCTGATATCGCTTTTGGGAGGGATATGAGAAATGTAGTTTATGGTTTTTACAAAGAGAGTAAGATATTAAATAAACATCAATTTCAATTTTTTCACTATCAAAAAATTTTATGCAAGGTCATGTAACGTGCAAGGTCAACCTTTTTACACCAGTTTTAAAACACCACTGTATTCATTATAAATTTTGATGGGAGGTTCAGCGCATACTTAACCTGTATTTGAATTACGTCACACTGATGACGGACACTTAACCAGAAACACGTGTCTATATTATTTTTACAGGTAAAATTAGAACTACTGGAAAAGACAATGCAGTATGTGTAATTGACCTATACCTCGTAATCAATAAATCCAATATGTACTATAATTGTTTTGTGAACATTCTTCTATGTATACTTCGTATATTTTATTGTCAAAACCCACAGTCACTAAAAGTATCCAGATATGTGAACAACAGCACTGAATACGGTCCTGATTTACACTCGATTCATTATTGCCAACGTTACAGACTAATACAAACATGCCACTAGCTGATTTACTGCTCACCTCAGTAGATGTTGCCTTATATTGGAAAATCGGTTTTAGACTAAAACGTGTATTGAGATGTCGATATCTAATTTATTCAATCCAGGTATTTGTTAAATCTTCAATTGATTTACCTTCATATTATCCTGACCTAAAGATTTAGATCCATGAGATTAGGAATTGACTTTACAGTGATATTAGATGAAGGTTTTTTTTATACTCCAACTACCACGAAGGCCTAAGGCCTAAACACCCATTGGGTACCGTTGGGCTATAGGGTGATACAGGGGAAAGGGGGAATGCCACACGGACTCTGGCGAGGGAACACGTGTGCATGCAACATGCACACATTCTGGCTCCGCCTACGAGATCCGCCGGGTGGTACCTCCACGTTCGACAGTCAGAGACCGTCTACCACCCACGGACAATCACAACATCCATAGCCAAGAGAAAAATTACTCCTGGGACGGGACTCGAACCCGCACAGCGCACGGCGACTGATCAGGAGACCGAAGAGTCTACTACTGCGGCCACCGCTGCTGCCTTGAAGATATTCAAAATGTTTTTGGTATCCTGAAATTCTGTTGAGTTGAAAACAACGAAAAACTAAACTAGTATGTTGCTGAAAATGTAAAAAGAATTCTACTTCACCGAGATTTCTACATGAATGATGGGATGATATTTGCAACATTAAAGATACATGGTTTTAACATTCGTATGCCGACCAATTAAGCTATGAATTGCGTGTATTCTCAGGATTATAATAATTTAGTTTAGAATACTCCTGAATAACATTCTATAGCTTGAAAAGTACCTCTAGGTTTTGAAGGTTTGACACAAGGTTACTACTAGACCAGAGCTACAGGCAACCAATGAAAGCCACTGGACCAGTGAGTCTCAGTGTAGGATCTCGATTCATCCACTCTAAAAAAATATAACCTAAGGTTTCTAACTCGCCTTGTGCTAGTTTTACTGTAAACAGATTGACAGTCCTAGATAATTGGTGATTTTCAAGGAAAATGCCTGAGTGATTTTTATATGTCGGCGGCATACGGTGGGTAGGCGGTGGTGTGTTTCTAAATGGTAAAATAACTGATAGCCCGATACATGAGGTCTGGAGGAACTATTAAAGTAGTTGGATCTCAATGTTAACGGTCACTGCAGTACAAGAAACTGTTCAGTACCAGAATAGTTGTCCTAACTACTGAAATATTTAATATCTGTTTTAATGTTTTTAACATGTTTAGGAGCTTTGGTCGGGAACAGATTAGTGTCCACTCGACATATGCATCACGTTTTTTGTCTTATTCTGCTGCTGTCAAAGCCAGCCTCGGCGATGGTAGCAAAAAGCACGGCCTTTAAATTAAAATAAACAAGTAACTGTTCATAGGACAAGTGCTGAATATTCATCTGAAGACATCGACGGGTCGGTCCGTCAGCATTTTTGTTAATGCGAAATGATTTCTTGTTGCTTTAATTACTTCTTTAATCTTTATAGGCCAGGAAGAGTTATTGCATGCCGACAAAATCTTGATTACAACATATTTTATAGTGTGGTCAGTTAATACTAGTCTTTATTTAAAATGCGTACATTATAAGAGAGGAGTAGCTATTCATCCTCTTGAGCCAAATATCAAAAAAAGTAAAGCAATTAATAAAATTTTAAGAAGATATTTACATTTATAATTCGATCTTCACGTACATAAGCAAAAAATACACTCATTTATGCAAATGGTGATTTTTTAAATAATATTTAAATACATTTAAAGACAATGATTTCAGGTTTTTCGGAATAAAGTTAAGCAGAGCAACTGTGTTGAATGTGAAATATCTCTTAAATGCCTTGTGATGTGGCATGGTAAATAAATGTGGAAAATGATGAAATTACCTTTAAGCGAGGTATGAGTTTATTTTTCAAATATGATGATTTCTTATTGATTTTAACTTTGTGTACAAGAGTGAGTAAACAGTATCGTGAAAGCCCAAAGACCTTTAACCAGCCCATAATATAAAGGTTCCTTGAAGTATGGCCATATATTTTTTTTAAATTATTCATTCGACGGCAATTGTTTTGTATTTTTTGTAGTCATTTTGCTGTGGTTTTATCTAAACATAGAAAATATATTGATAAAAGGCAGTTCCTAGAAACGTGCTTAGGGAATCTTAGTTTAATATTTGGCACTGGCTAGGTACAATTTGGTCAAACCTTAAATAATTGACGTTTTTGGCCGGAGACCGATACGAAGGTTCATCGCACATCGGCTATGCTATTATCTCTCTCTCTCGATCTAGCTTTCTCATCCTCTTACACCTTCGACCATATCATGATTTAATTACATGTCGGACTTTGGATACTTTTGTATCTTTTATTATCTTTGTTTCTAATAGGGAAACGAATCTGCGAGGCAACAAGATAGGTCTCAGGAGTTATAAAATAATACGATGTCTAAGAAGATAGGTAACTTTATCCGAAATACCTTGCTTACTATTCTTCTTTGGGGTTGCAAGAATTGTCTCGATTCACCTTTAATCCATGGACTTGGGTTTTGTTTTCTTTTTTTTAACAAGTTCATAATGTCTACTACATTTCCACAGCTATAAGATCAACCTTAATTTTTGCACGTCCCAAACCGATCACATTTCGTTGTGAAGAGCTCTTCGGGGAATAATATTGGTACGATCTCTACTGCCAAATACGACCTGAGAAAAAATGGCACAATGAAATATATTTCAAGCGGTCACGGATGAGATGACTAATTATCTGGTCGACCATTAAAAACTTCGCTATTTCGATCCGAATGCGCGCCATCCGTTGATGAGGCTTTTATGGAGTCAAGGTATGGCGTGCCAGGGAGGGCGAAAAGGGATAAAGGAATCTTATTACTTTCAAATTGATATTATGAGGAATTGGTCGTGATTTTTTGCACCAAGTGGCCTCGGATTACAGGTGTGGTAAGAGTTGGTTAAGTACGTCGTCACAGATATACGCATTTAATTATCAGTTCTCTCAAACCTGCCAAATACCATGTTACAAGTTCAAGTTGATCATTTGAGATGTAGCCAGATATTTTTGTTACGACTTCGCACTTTCATCTGAGATGATAATAGATATTTAACGTGATTCTCTGGCTTTAGCTACACACAAGACATAGATATATGTGCCGTTGATTCCTTAAAAAAATTGATCAATTTACCTTTTGAATGGCAGCTAACGTAACTATTGGCCACAGGCCTTTATTTTATTCCTGCTCTTGCTAAATCATACATGGTTCACACTTGAGGTTCGGGTTCGCTTGCTGTACACTTGGTCTAACCATCACACCATACCACAGCGTTTAACCACCGGGTTCCTGTATAGCCTCCTAGTTGCAGGCTCACGTACCTGACAATTTGCTAAACATCTTTCATCACCTGCTCAGAATTTAAATTGCCACAAGATATCAGGGGTTTTGACCGATACTCAGGTTAGACGAGCATATAAGTAATAGGAATCGTTGACCTCAGAAATACCAACAGAATTGCTGAATTGGGAGATCCAAGATCCAAGGATTTTGTATGTTAGACTTAACCTGTTTAGTGAGCGGTGTTCTTCCCCTTTATTAGGTGTGAACCTCTAATCGACCCGCACCCTTTTTTATGTAATTTGCCGAAATACATTTTTAGATGAAGTTCTCTATGTTTTTTATTGCGATAGCTGACATTTGACTTGTGGATATTTGAGGCAAGGTATAAATTACTTGGGTGTGAGTTACATGTCGTGATAAAGTTTGGCCATGTGCTTGCTCTGCTGTGTCCCTTAGAATGGTCTTAAATGATTTTGAGTGCAGACGCAATAGATTTATCATTTCTCCATTTACTTATAGTATAAAACTAAATGACTTTGATTTTATGGAAAAAATGTGATATCAACTTGGATTTCCTAGAATAACTCAGAACTATAAGCGGTACGGTAAATATGTACAGGAGAAGATAGGAATATCCACACAAAATGATCAACTCTATGAACTATGATCGGTAGCGACAAGTCAATGATTTAGAAGACAATCGCCCTAAAATATGAAAGTATGCTGGCCACCATGTCATAACATGGTTGTGTGTTTCCCAATGTGAAAAATCCAAACTCAACAATAGACGAAATTGTATCTTGCTCTTCAGGTAAGGTGAAGGAAGGTGTATCAAGTTTGTGTTATTGAGGTTTATTGAATCTTAACGCGTTACTGTAACTATGCTTAGTAAAATATTATCTTTTGAGCATCTGAGCATACTGCATGTTAAATAATTGACTATTAAAAAATGTATGCAGGATTTTTCTCCTGGCACTACCCATATTTCTACCTCGACACATTTTACCCCTCATAGTTTTCCCCGGAATATTTTTCGGCAATTCCGCAGGATTGCCTGGATGATATGCCAGAAGGGTCTGTTCTTAGTCCGATGTGTCTAACCTCTTCATAACGGACGTGGTATCTTGGTTATTGTAACGACTGAAAGTCATCGTGTGGTTTTTATGCTGATAGGACTCTATTATTGTTTCGGCGACCGCGGAAGCCTTTTTTTAAAGTACAAATAACAATGACAATAAATTTATTTTTATCTGCTACTATACAGTATGTTGTCATTATTACAATTTTAAGATGTCACTGGGGTAGGTACTTCTGCGGTCAAAAGCGGCCAGCGAGCACCGGGTTATCTGTTGATGTTGTTTCCATTTGCCATACACATCTACAGTGTTGATGGATCTGAAATGCGAAAAGATACATCAGTTTGGCCTTGAGATGGCAAGGCAAAACATTAGAGTCTTTGGAATCCAATAAAAAGCCACAGGAAAAAACATGGAAGTAAACAGCTTATGGTCTGTGGTACCTTGGTATTTTGTTGCAACTAATAGCAACTTGACGTATGCCAAGATGTTGCTTGTTATGTAATAATTCCAGATCGTGGTCAAAAAGCACATTGTCGCTATAGTAAGTTTCAAGTTGCGCATAGGCTAATAGTAAAAATGATTTCTCACTCAGTACGTCAACTATCCGCACTTTTTGTATACCTATTGGAAATCACCATGAAAACATGTTATCAAAGCATTGCAACGCAACAGAGTAAAAGCATCGCGTGCTGGACTTCATCCCTCCTGGTCAAATCCGCAGATGAATGACCGAGGAAATGGCGAGTATCTCGTCCTTTTTAACCTTAATTGACGCCCGAAGAAAATGTCTCGCCTCACCGCTTCTGGCTTTTAAAAAAATAATATGACCGTAATGAATAGGAATGGAACATGAGCTTGTTTCTTTTGCTCGATTCCTCAAATTGCTACGTGCTTTTCCTATTCAAGATAAATTGTGTATAAGACCTTTTCGTGATGCTTGCGCTACGTGCTTATAATAGAAAGGATGTGCCGAGTTTGCTATTATTATGTTTTTTCATTTTCAAACGAGTTTTTGCTTCGCGGTGATTGATGCTGCAATTGCTGTTAACAGGCGTGTGTTCTCAATGCAACAAATGTATATCAAGGAACGGAAGACGCAAATATACGCTAGGACCAGAAAACGCTTAATAAAAAGATCATTGGGAGAGGGACGGTGACTATCACGTACAGATAAGGGAGCCTCGGTAGCTCGGTGGTTTACGCGTTGAGCTAGCAGCCCGGGGCTCGCGGGTTCGAATCTCCACCTCGGATGTTTATTCTAAGCCAAGGATGTTGTGTTGTGTGTTGTCTATATTGTGCACGTGGGTGCAATGTTTACGGAAGGTACATCTTATCACTGGAGCTGATTTGTCATATCAGTTTCCAGTAGACAACTCGGTCAAAGGCATCGCCTCCCCACTACTACTCCTACATCTCTTGCACATAAAGTATCCAAGGCTGAGGACGCTCCCAACACATTAGAACCTGGGGTGGAATGTTTCAACCAATTTGGACTTGGTAGAAGGAAACAAGTGATTTGTTTGGATCTACAAAATCGTAATCAGTATTTAGGATGCAAATGCATACAACAAGTCGGTTAGGCTCAAGCTGCCAGTTTGTCAGTTGTTAACACTTTGCATAGTCGATTTGTTTTCGATAGATTTCTAGGTAGATCGTGAAATTTTTGGATAGACGGTAAATAAAAAGCAAAAAATTGTCGGTGAGTGATTGCTGAGAGTGGATACCTAGCTTGAGCTCCAATTGGTTTTGAAAAATGAAAAGCGGGAAGAGGGTAGCCGCAAATTTTGCTATTTGAAAAATTGAAGATCGCAGGATTGCACCAAATTCCACCAATCGAAAATTGAAGAGCGGAGGGTATACATACAAATACCATTGCATGGTTGAATTATATGAAGAATATACCGTTCAAGGGTTTGACAAATTTTCCGGCAGAATTAAAAGCGGCAGTTTGGTGGAATAGTACTAAAATCGGTACATCTTCTAACTATCGGTAGACTTATTAATAATGGTTCTCATACAGTTTCACTGTTCTAGCCAATTGCAGAAAAAGGTTTTTTAGTATACTCAAAAGCACATCCTTTTATCGGCGAGTGTTGTTATAGGACAGTCATCGGCGTTGTGGTAGCACATGCAACTGAGCGTGTTGCGTTCACGGGGACAGTTGTGAGGTTATTTCGATTTATTTCATTGCACTTGTTTGAGTGCTTAATCAAAATTTACTTTGATAGAAAAATTGTATACCTAAGATAACGTAGAAGAAATCCAAAACGGGGCAAAATGGATAACCGGAACTTTAACTTTGAGTCTTACTTACTTTCACTTTTAATCTGAAAGTTCTTAGGAGTGTTCTTTACTTTCCCGTTGTAAATAGTGATCTTACGTTTTCTCATTTTAGCGTCATAAGATTCCGTTAAGGAACCTCAGCATGTCTGAAAAAATCTTTTAATATCAGATTGGTTAAGTCACTTGTAAATCCTTCTATTGGATCATCATAGAGACAATGGTACAACAGCAGGTACCTGATTGCCATACAACGTACAAAAAACTATTCGTTTTTAGCCAGGGTTTACTAGGATCATACACAAGATAGACAAGTATTAAGAAAAAACCGAGTTCAAACAAGGTATCCCACTATTTCCAATATCAGGTCTTCCACCTTTGATTAAGACAATCTTTCACCTTCCACCTTACAAAATCACGAGTCAAGCAGGAATTGTTCATACGCGTTCATACGCGTTCATACTTCCATTTTTTTGTTTTATTTAGTTTATCCATCTGCATTAACAATAACTGAACGATTTAAATCGAAACACAGAAAAGGATATACGCCAATGTATTGTTTTGACATGAGTTAGCAAATGTACCCAAAAGTGTGCACTAATATACGCAATTTTGGCGACTATGCCATGAAAGCAATTCGCGGGGAGTCAAGTGAATAGTGTGAGGAACTGAATTGACCGCAGCACACGCGTTGGATAAATACATTATGGGACTGATAGTCGAATATAGACGTGGATTCCTTTGTAAAATCTTTGTCATGAAGGGCCCCTTGAAAACTGGCAAATGTGCAAATATTTTGCTGTCATTATTTGTTGTATCAAACGAGAATTGCTCGTTTGAAATTCAAATTATTCCTAACCACAAATCGACTAAATGTAAAACAAGCCAAATATTACTGCCCGACATCAGCTAGGTGGCGCAATAATCGCGCAACCTGCGAGGCTTGCCTCCTTATGACGTATTCAAATGTGTTGGGATGTCTGGATTTCAAGAGGTCGCATAGAACTCTAAACAGTGAGTTAAATAAGCTACTATAATGATAACGTGCTTTTTGGAGCTGCCCTGGAAAATACTTCATTAAGAAAACTATAAGATGAAATTTTTCCTCATGTCGGATCCACCACACTAATTGTGGTAACCTCCCATAAATTATGATCGGAACTTTTGTACATGTTGCTAGGCGAGTTCCATAGTAAATATATTTTGAAGGCAGCTATCACCAATAGTGACGTAATTCCCCAGCAAATCTAATAAATATTTTTCCTGGAGTGGGTATCGACGATTGCCACTCATGAAAATGGTTCGTCGGGGTACATGTATGGTGACAATAGGAGCGCCCAGCGTACCTGCTATCGTGTGGTGCGGATGGACGTAGCTTACCTCTTACACCAAGCCTACCGTGTACCATCAGATTAATGAAGTAAATTCGAATATCAGGTAAAATTGATGTTCAAAATTTTCGATTCTCTCTATAGAAACAATCTACCTAGGAATTGGACATGTAACGATCAATATGTTACAGTCCAATATGGTGCAGTATTCTGCAGGATCTAGTCGACATTGTCCAAACCAACAGGTTGATCATATTTTTTTTTCAAAACAGCCCGCGGATACGTTATCAAAAATCTCTTTAGATTATTTTTTTTCCAAATCTGGTACGTTACATATCTTAACACATAGAATGGAATTCTCAATGGCCCCAAAGTTTCTCCACAAGTAGTTTCCTATTGCAGCGTATTTTGCTAAGCGTTGACCATAATTGAAATTTTTATAACATGTATAGATGGAATATTCTTCTGAGGGACAAATGTTTCCAAAAATTGTTCAAAATTATCCTACACTGCTGAGCTGAATTGTATTTTTTAGATATATTTGGATACTTATGCGATTTGTCGAGTTTTCTTAATTTCATTACATAAACATACGAATCTAACAACTTAGAGATAGTATGAAATGAAAATGTGAAATTACACGTCATGTTTGAATGTTGTTAATTATGTGCTCTTTAAAAAGCTGTACATGTAATTGAGGCGAACAATTCAAGGAATGGGTGAGGTGAGTAGCAAACAAATACTGAGATATATCATTACAGAATGTTTGGCACACTTTTTATTATTATTTAAGACAATGGTCGCCAAACTTTCATTTCTGACAAAATACATGAACATTATCTCAACAAGTGCTCAACAAAACTCAGATGTATGTAGGTCTATCCAAATATGTAATAAGGTATATCTACAAAAAAGACAACTCTATTAGCCAAGACATTAGTGGAACACCCTGTATAATCCTGAATATTTTTGGAAGATCGCTTTGTCTCGGAGCTATAGCGCATCTTTACAAGTTTGTTTATGTGACAGAATTGTAATGTCGTTGAACCGAACAGAAGGAATGATGACAAGAACGTAACTGAAGATCAAACAACTATTATAATTACCATCTATTGACTTCAGATAACGCTGTAATAGAGTACGTACTACTCAACTTGTAGATCTTGTATCTTAGCAGATTTTTAGAGAATTCTTGTTTGGACAAACCTCGATCAGAAACCATACTTTGACGCATACACATATGTAGCTACAAGACTCTATACCCGTGGTAAAGGTAGAGAGAGAAAAGCCAAGGCAATAGGCCACATCTGATATCTCTTACGGCTCAACATTACAAAATACTTGTCTGAAGGAATTACTTGGTCTTGGTACTTGTATGGTCTCTAAATATCTAGACATGTGGTTGAACTATCAAACTCCGTAAGATGTACGTACGTTATATGCTTTTCTGTGTAATGACTGCGCGATCATCGGTATATACGGAGAATCTTTACCTCTATCTAGTATCCAGGGCGTTCGACTTGTTCGTTATATACTTTTATAGGAAACACTGAAAATCTCACCAACCGAAGACTTTCTCAAGCTCATCTGCAATACCAAATTTCTACAAAAACGCCACCGTTTGACGAGTATGCCATAGAAGAGATAAATTAACCGTAACAACTGTACCAATTAGCGACTGCAAAAAACTGAGCCCCGTCCGTTC